CCCCCCCGCCCCCCCTACAGCCAGCCGAGAACAATGCGCCCAGTCCTACCCTGGCAGCGGCTGAGCCGCGCCCAAGCGGCGCGCGGCGCCTGCCGGGAAATGTAGTTCCCCAGGCATCGTCTGCGTCGCGCCACTGCTCGCTGGCCGGGTGTCGCGCGCTACTACAAATCCCGTCACGCCCTGCGAGATCCTGCTCACGGGGCTTTTGCGGAAAAGGAGTGTGGCTGACATGGCTGAAGATGCTGGGGACGGTCCTGCGTGTAGCGGGATGGGCGGTAAGCAGGATCCTGTGTCTAGTGCTGGCGGTTGCAACTTTCCAGAGTACGAGTTCCCGGAGCTGAACACTCGCGCTTTCCACGTGGGAGCCTTTGGGGAGCTGTGGCGCGGCCGGCTGCGCGGAGCCGGGGACTTGTCGCTGAGGGAGCCGCCGACCCTCGGGGTTGCGGACTCCGACCTGGAAGATGTCGCGGTGGCCCGGGATCTGGGTTGCAGCCTGGATGCGGCGGCCGAGCTGAGGGCGGTGTGCGGGTGAGTACCCGGCCCGGCCCCGGGGCGCATCGGCCGGGGCCCGGGCGCGGTGCCTGTTCAAGCCCCTGCTGGCCGGCGACCCGAGCTGGCCTGGGGCCCGGGGCGTGCACGCGGGGTCTGCGGAGGACCTGCCCCGACCTCCCCCATCCTTTGCTGAAACCCGGGAGAGGCCCTGAGGTGTGAATGTACAGTTGCTCCGAGTGAAAGGAATGAGACAGCTACACGAAAGACTCGGGTTTTATTTCCTCCATTTTCGCTCATTTTTGATCAAAGCAGGATTACAGTGACGTGAATCTGCCATTGACACTTTGACAATGGAAGCACCTCAGTCATGATGAGGCAGAATGGGGCTTAGTCAGAGTAGTATTTAAAATTGGGGTCCAGACACGTTCTCTTGGCTGTGCTGTTACTGAAAATCCCCCCCCCCCCAAATTGCCTAGTGTGGGGTGAAAGGAAAACATAACAATCTTTCTCCATTTAACGGTACTTGCCACCTTCTGTCGCCCATATATCCATCATAAAATATCTGAACAGAAACTATTGCCTCAAATCCTACCCTTTTCTTAAGCTGCCTCCTGGTTTCATCTGACTTCTTAATTATTTCAGTGGTGTATTTAGGACAAGCTCTGACTTGCTGTTGACTCGATGCATGGCTGACAAAGTTTTACTTTTCCTCGTTTGTTTTAGCGTTGATAAACTGAAATGCCTTGAAGAAGGTGAGGATCCTGAAGTCATTCCAGAAGATACTGACCTGGTGACTTTGGGGTATGGACGACTTTGTTTTTGTTCTATGTTCTTTACTTAATTTATTTTTGGTGCTGAGGATTGAAACCAGGGTCTGCCTGGCTTTTGTTGATCATCTAACACTGAACCTGAACCACATTGCCAGACGCAATGCTATTTATTTAAACTTTGTATGTATGTGTGTGCCTGCATGCGTGCCCATGCACACACGCACCAATCCTGAGGCTTGAACTCAGGGCTTGGGTGCTATCCTTGAGCTCTTTTGCTCAAGACTGGCATCCTACCCTTGGAGCCACAGCTCCACTTAAAAGTTTTGTATGTGTGTCCGTGTGATAAATTGGAGATAAGAGTGTCACAGACATTCCTAACTAGACTGGCTTTGAATTGGAATCTTCAGATTTCAGCCTGAGTAGCTAGGATTACAGGCATGAACCACCAGCCACTAGCTTATTTATACTTTTTTTTGGTCGGTGGTGGGGCTTGAACTCTGGGCTTGGACTTGGTCCCTAAGCTCTTCAGCTCAAGGCTAGCTCTTTATCACTTTGAGCCTCACTGCCACTTTTGCTTTTCTGACAGTTAATTGGAGATAAGAGTCTCATGCCCTGTCTGGCTTTGAACTGCGATCCTCAGATCTCAGTCACCTGAGTAGCTAGGATTACAGGCATGGCCCCCCCCCCCCTGTCAGTCCTGGGGCCTGAAGTCTAGGCCTGGGCACTGTCCCTCAGCTCTTCAGCTCAAGGCTAGCGCTCTACCACTTGAGCCACAGCGCCACTTCTGGCTTTT